TTTTCGCCCGAAAAAAAAAAAAACGTAAGGGGTACCACTGTCGTTTTTTTTTTTGGGCCGAATTTTTGAGTTTCGATATCTCAGCTCTGGAAGGGGCTAGAACCTCCATTTTTGCACTCAGGTCTAAGTCTCATGGCCCTCTATCAGAATCCAGAGTTTCGTGAAGATTGGAGAAACTTAATTTTTCGCCCGAAAAAAAAAAAACGTAAGGGGTACCACTGTCCTTTTTTTTTCGGGCCGAATTTTTGAGTTTCGATATCTCAGCTCTGGAAGGGGCTAGAGCCTCCATTTTTGCACTCAGGTCTAAGTCTCATGGCCCTCTATCAGAATCCAGAGTTTTGGGAAGATTGGAGAAACTTAATTTTTCGCCCGAAAAAAAAAAAAACGTAAGGGGTACCACTGTCGTTTTTTTTTTCGGGCCGAATTTTTGAGTTTCGATATCTCAGCTCTGGAAGGGGCTAGAGCCTCCATTTTTGCACTCAGGTCTAAGTCTCATGGCCCTCTATCAGAATCCAGAGTTTTGAGAAGATTGGAGAAACTTAATTTTTCGTCCGAAAAAAAAAAACGTAAGGGGTACCACTGTCGTTTTTTTTTTTCGGGCCGAATTTTTGAGTTTCGATATCTCAGCTCTGGAAGGGGCTAGAGCCTCCATTTTTGCACTCAGGTCTAAGTCTCATGGCCCTCTATCAGAATCCAGAGTTTTGACAAGATTGGAGAAACTTAATTTTTCGCCCGAAAAAAAAAAAACGTAAGGGGTACCACTGTCGTTTTTTTTTTTTCGGGCCAAATTTTTGAGTTTCGATATCTCAGCTCTGGAAGGGGCTAGAGCCTCCATTTTTGCACTCAGGTCTAAGTCTCATGGCCCTCTATCAGAATCCAGAGTTTTGGAAGATTGGAGAAACTTAATTTTTCGCCCGAAAAAAAAAAAACGTAAGGGGTACCACTGTCGTTTTTTTTTTCGGGCCGAATTTTTGAGTTTCGATATCTCAGCTCTGGAAGGGGCTAGAGCCTCCATTTTTGCACTCAGGTCTAAGTCTCATGGCCCTCTATCAGAATCCAGAGTTTTGAGAAGATTGGAGAAACTTAATTTTTCGCCCGAAAAAAAAAACGTAAGGGGTACCACTGTCGTTTTTTTTTTCGGGCCGAATTTTTGAGTTTCGATATCTCAGCTCTGGAAGGGGCTAGAGCCTCCATTTTTGCACTCAGGTCTAAGTCTCATGGCCCTCTATCAGAATCCAGAGTTTTGGGAAGATTGGAGAAACTTAATTTTTCGCCCAAAAAAAAAAAAACGTAAGGGGTACCACTGTCGTTTTTTTTTCGGGCCGAATTTTTGAGTTTCGATATCTCAGCTCTGGAAGGGGCTAGAGCCTCCATTTTTGCACTCAGGTCTAAGTCTCATGGCCCTCTATCAGAATCCAGAGTTTTGGAAGATTGGAGAAACTTAATTTTTCGCCCGAAAAAAAAAAAACGTAAGGGGTACCACTGTCGTTTTTTTTTTCGGGCCGAATTTTTGAGTTTCGATATCTCAGCTCTGGAAGGGGCTAGAGCCTCCATTTTTGCACTCAGGTCTAAGTCTCATGGCCCTCTATCAGAATCCAGAGTTTTGGGAAGATTGGAGAAACTTAATTTTTCGCCAAAAAAAAAAAACGTAAGGGGTACCACTGTCGTTTTTTTTTTCGGGCCGAATTTTTGAGTTTCGATATCTCAGCTCTGGAAGGGGCTAGAGCCTCCATTTTTGCACTCAGGTCTAAGTCTCATGGCCCTCTATCAGAATCCAGAGTTTTGGGAAGATTGGAGAAACTTAATTTTTCGCCCAAAAAAAAAAAACGTAAGGGGTACCACTGTCGTTTTTTTTTTCGGGCCGAATTTTTGAGTTTCGATATCTCAGCTCTGGAAGGGGCTAGAGCCTCCATTTTTGCACTCAGGTCTAAGTCTCATGGCCCTCTATCAGAATCCAGAGTTTTGGGAAGATTGGAGAAACTTAATTTTTCGCCCAAAAAAAAAAAACGTAAGGGGTACCACTGTCGTTTTTTTTTCGGGCCGAATTTTTGAGTTTCGATATCTCAGCTCTGGAAGGGGCTAGAGCCTCCATTTTTGCACTCAGGTCTAAGTCTCATGGCCCTCTATCAGAATCCAGAGTTTTGGAAAGATTGGAGAAACTTAATTTTTCGCCCGAAAAAAAAAAAACGTAAGGGGTACCACTGTCGTTTTTTTTTTCGGGCCGAATTTTTGAGTTTCGATATCTCAGCTCTGGAAGGGGCTAGAGCCTCCATTTTTGCACTCAGGTCTAAGTCTCATGGCCCTCTATCAGAATCCAGAGTTTTGGGAAGATTGGAGAAACTTAATTTTTCGCCCAAAAAAAAAAACGTAAGGGGTACCACTGTCGTTTTTTTTTTCGGGCCGAATTTTTGAGTTTCGATATCTCAGCTCTGGAAGGGGCTAGAGCCTCCATTTTTGCACTCAGGTCTAAGTCTCATGGCCCTCTATCAGAATCCAGAGTTTTGGGAAGATTGGAGAAACTTAATTTTTCGCCCAAAAAAAAAAACGTAAGGGGTACCACTGTCGTTTTTTTTTTCGGGCCGAATTTTTGAGTTTCGATATCTCAGCTCTGGAAGGGGCTAGAGCCTCCATTTTTGCACTCAGGTCTAAGTCTCATGGCCCTCTATCAGAATCCAGAGTTTTGGAAGATTGGAGAAACTTAATTTTTCGCCCGAAAAAAAAAACGTAAGGGGTACCACTGTCGTTTTTTTTTTCGGGCCGAATTTTTGAGTTTCGATATCTCAGCTCTGGAAGGGGCTAGAGCCTCCATTTTTGCACTCAGGTCTAAGTCTCATGGCCCTCTATCAGAATCCAGAGTTTTGGGAAGATTGGAGAAACTTAATTTTTCGCCCAAAAAAAAAAAAACGTAAGGGGTACCACTGTCGTTTTTTTTTTCGGGCCGAATTTTTGAGTTTCGATATCTCAGCTCTGGAAGGGGCTAGAGCCTCCATTTTTGCACTCAGGTCTAAGTCTCATGGCCCTCTATCAGAATCCAGAGTTTTGGAAGATTGGAGAAACTTAATTTTTCGCCCAAAAAAAAAAAACGTAAGGGGTACCACTGTCGTTTTTTTTTCGGGCCGAATTTTTGAGTTTCGATATCTCAGCTCTGGAAGGGGCTAGAGCCTCCATTTTTGCACTCAGGTCTAAGTCTCATGGCCCTCTATCAGAATCCAGAGTTTTGGGAAGATTGGAGAAACTTAATTTTTCGCCCAAAAAAAAAAACGTAAGGGGTACCACTGTCGTTTTTTTTTCGGGCCGAATTTTTGAGTTTCGATATCTCAGCTCTGGAAGGGGCTAGAGCCTCCATTTTTGCACTCAGGTCTAAGTCTCATGGCCCTCTATCAGAATCCAGAGTTTGGGAAGATTGGAGAAACTTAATTTTTCGCCCAAAAAAAAAAACGTAAGGGGTACCACTGTCGTTTTTTTTTTCGGGCCGAATTTTTGAGTTTCGATATCTCAGCTCTGGAAGGGGCTAGAGCCTCCATTTTTGCACTCAGGTCTAAGTCTCATGGCCCTCTATCAGAATCCAGAGTTTTGGAAGATTGGAGAAACTTAATTTTTCGCCCAAAAAAAAAAACGTAAGGGGTACCACTGTCGTTTTTTTTTTCGGGCCGAATTTTTGAGTTTCGATATCTCAGCTCTGGAAGGGGCTAGAGCCTCCATTTTTGCACTCAGGTCTAAGTCTCATGGCCCTCTATCAGAATCCAGAGTTTTGGGAAGATTGGAGAAACTTAATTTTTCGCCCAAAAAAAAAACGTAAGGGGTACCACTGTCGTTTTTTTTTCGGGCCGAATTTTTGAGTTTCGATATCTCAGCTCTGGAAGGGGCTAGAGCCTCCATTTTTGCACTCAGGTCTAAGTCTCATGGCCCTCTATCAGAATCCAGAGTTTTGAGAAGATTGGAGAAACTTAATTTTTCGCCCAAAAAAAAAAAACGTAAGGGGTACCACTGTCGTTTTTTTTTCGGGCCGAATTTTTGAGTTTCGATATCTCAGCTCTGGAAGGGGCTAGAGCCTCCATTTTTGCACTCAGGTCTAAGTCTCATGGCCCTCTATCAGAATCCAGAGTTTGGGAAGATTGGAGAAACTTAATTTTTCGCTCCAAAAAAAAAAAACGTAAGGGGTACCACTGTCGTTTTTTTTTTGGGCCGAATTTTTGAGTTTCGATATCTCAGCTCTGGAAGGGGCTAGAGCCTCCATTTTTGCACTCAGGTCTAAGTCTCATGGCCCTCTATCAGAATCCAGAGTTTTAGAAGATTGGAGAAACTTAATTTTTCGCCCAAAAAAAAAAACGTAAGGGGTACCACTGTCGTTTTTTTTTTTCGGGCCGAATTTTTGAGTTTCGATATCTCAGCTCTGGAAGGGCTAGAGCCTCCATTTTTTGCACTCAGGTCTAAGTCTCATGGCCCTCTATCAGAATCCAGAGTTTTGAGAAGATTGGAGAAACTTAATTTTTTTTTTCG